CTCGCTCTCAGATAGTGTGTTTAAATGAGAGTGAGTCACTACAGGGAAGGGCGAGATGGGGTAGTCCTGCGGTCACGTTACAAGCGCCGGATTAAACAGTGATTTTCTTTTATTTAAACACATTCCAGTGCTTTTCTGAGCCAAACATCTGCAAAACAGTGAATGTACTGATTCAGCTGCTTAATTTTGCGCTTGACCTTTTGCAGGTTGTAATTTGAGTATGTGTTTGTGTCTTCAGAGAGGTTTCACGTTCAGTTATTGTTTTTTTAAACACGTATTTCATGTTTAATTCAGCTTCGTATGACTGCGCTTGAATGCGTCCACTCTCTCGTGTATCAGAGCATTCGAGTAGCTCTTCTTGTCCAGACGCGCCTCACTGCCCTCCATTATTTAAGCTATTGTAGCAGTGAAAGGCGAGGATACGCTGGGTTTTAGTTAAGGTAAATACAGGACTTAATTCACCTGGCCAGGCTCTTCTCTTTCAGACACTGAGGGGATCTTATGCTTGCTGAAAAGATGAGTTTATCTGCTTTCTTTATGGTCGTGTTCTCCTGTTTCTCATGCAGCAATAACTCATCGCGCACGTTCTCGTAAAACATACTGCTGAGTAACTGTTGAAAGTGGGTGACTCTAAACACAGGTCACCATGGGAGCTGTTATCTCAGGTGTCGTCTTTCAGCGTTGAGCTCCATAGATGAGGAAAGGCGGGCTTGTTTGCTAGCGCGCCCTCACAATCATCACAGTCCTGCTGTTGAAGTTATCAAAGCTCCTTTAGGCTCCAGAGGCCCCCGGGGGACCCGCTGCAACTCCGTCCTCTCGGGAAAAGGAAAAGAACCAGACATTGAGTTGGATAACAGCGTGATAAAGATGTAAATATGTGACCTCATGATGATTTGATTACGTTACTGCGCTTTTGTAAACAATTCAGTCTATTGTGAAATCTAAAATTTGCGAAATCAGATGTGCAACATGTCACCTTTTGAATTGCCAACAGATCTGTGAGAGAATCCACGCCCCCCCCCTCCAAGAACAGCACAGCAGCAATTCATGGTCATTATTCAGCCAACCCACAATTCAAGTTTTATTGGCCAGTCAGAAGATATTGTCCGTTTCATTCGACTTTTTCTTCGATAGTTTTCGAATGGTGGGCTACAAAACGGTTAACATGTAAATTATCATCGTTAACAACCAAGAAAGTCATCTTCCATTTATTTTGCGCCTGAAACTGATAGAAAAATATTTCTGTGGACGTAGCTGTGAGAGCTAAACGACCGTCTAGATCACAAGTGGCAACCTTCGGGGTCCAAGCACTATGCGCCTAATGGAGCCAATAGAACTCATTAATGGGTTTTTAGAATAGCCTTTATTTATGATAGATGTGGGTCTCAAAAGGAGATTTCGTACACACCAATGTTCTGACCTTGCTATAGTAAGCAACAGATTTTTAACAAAAAAAAAATCTAAATACCTAGAAAACACTACAGTATTTGGACATGATTTACATTTGCATAGTGAACTCGGTACACTAAAGAATTCCACCGCAATTACCCCTGTATTTTAGTCTCAGAGTGTACCAGATTTGTATCACTAAAAATTCACCTTGGAACATTGCTACTGAACTCTGCTAGAGGTCATTGGTTTCCGATCTTGTCTATTTCACTTCTTGTTAGTTTTTATGTGTGAGTAAAGTTGGTTTCCCTTCATCATACTCTCATTTCTTTTTTTAATTTTGAACAGTGGGTAATATGTGAAAATTGGCAGCCAAACAACCAGCTTCCACATAGGTTTGTCTGAAATTTCGTTGGACTGTGGTGACCACTATGAGAGTTCAGCAACCATCTACTTTCATCACAATTAGCGATCAATGAGGCCGTTTTGGAACCAATCGAACACGAATAATGGGCAAGTTCGCCTCTATACGTAATAGATTTGGGGTCTCAAATGAAGATATCTGCCAAATTCCATACACATTTACTTCTTTGGTATGATAAGCAACAGATTGTTAACAAATAAGTCAAAATACTTAGAAAATAGTACAATTTTTGGACGTGACTTGTATTTGCATAGTTGTAGTTGTTGAACATAAAGAATCAATTAAACAGCAGTTACCCCTGTATTTTAGCCTCAGAATGCACGTTTCATGTTAAAATCACTAAAATGTTCTCCTAGGATTGATGCTGCCCAATACCCATTACAGGGGATTAGTTCCTGAACTCGCACCTTTTTCACTGCTCATATCTGTGATGCACAAATGTGACTGGATATATTTACACAATGGTGGAAATTTATTTTTTTTGTAATAAAAGCTCAAATTTCAGTTTGGCAGAAATAAAGAGCACAGTGATGTATGAAAAACAAGACACTTTTTTCTTACTTAAGCTGTGTATTTTTTAATCTTGCCCTTGTTGACGAATGAGTAAACGAATTGGCACCTCATATTCATAACCCTGGGAAACATGGAAGCCATAGATGGCCACCTGAAAGTTCCTGAACACTGAGATTAATATGTATAGGTAATAAATTTGTATGAAAATGGTAACATGCTTTATTTACATATAGTTTTGTTACAGTTTATTAGACTTAGAAGTTTCTTTTTTTTTTCTTATGTTCGCTGAGAGACTTTAGAGCCACTTGTAGATCAAATACACAAATGTGACAGCAGGAACATTTTCACAGCATTATTTAAAAAAAAGAATTAGTAGATACTTTGTCGAACCTTGATTATAGTTGATTTTAACAACAGAGTCAAACTGACACTTTTCCATCCCTGCTGTGTTATGAAACATCATGTCTAATAAGCTCTGTGCACTGTGCAGTTTCTGTATGGGCTCATGGCTGTACTGTATTGTGTTGCTGACCCCTGGAGGCACTGTTTCCAGAAAAAAGGCCAAAATACCCATTACGTTCACTCCCCAAACACCTCTGTGTTTACTTCCCTGTGGGAGGACAGCGCTCGCCCCAAGCAACACTAAAACCATGGAGTGAGGGGGAGAGTGTTAGCCGGAGTGAGTTGGAGCGCTTTATCTTTCTCCCTGATGCTAATTTTGGCTTCACTTGTGTCCCGACTCCTGTTTGCAGCCTGAGGCCAGGTCATTTGAGCTGAACGTTGCGTAGAAGCTAACGTTTAGGAACGGGCGTCTCCTTAGGGTGCAGTTGCTAGGCATGAGTGAAAATATGTTCAGATTAGATCAGGTCAAGGAAGGTCCAGATCAGCATCCCGTGAAGGTAAATACTTCCACAGAATCCATAACTTTTACATCTCCTCCAAACCTTAGTTACACATAAACCCTCACGCTAAAGGAGGATTCCACCAATTTGTGTGTATCGTGTGTCAGAAAGGGCCTTGAACTATCGTGATATGATATTTTTGCCATATCCTCCACCTCAGCTGGATCATATAGCTGCCAGAATGGCATGGATGAGACTGCCTAATGTTTCATTCAGAGAACGGTATTGAGGCAGAGGTGTCTAATTCTGGTAATGGGGGGAACATAGGCTTGGTGATTTCTCTGCTCAGGCACAGCTGATTATTAACTGCAGCTTTATCAGGTTTCGGTGCAGGAGTATCACCAATCTGTGCAGGACTAAGGCCAAGACTAAGACTAAGGTCTGCAGCTGGACACCCCTGAGTTACACACTTAAATTTGGCTCCTCAAAGGTTCTTTAGAAAAGGAAATGGTTTTATTTAGAATGAAGAGTTCTGCATAGAACCATTTGCAATCTTAAATCATTCTTTGGATGGTGAAATGGTTCTTTAGATTGGTGGAGAATGCGTTGCTTATCGCTGTTGTCAGAAGAAAACCTTGTATTTCTATTTTTGTTGTTTTTCAGTTTTTGACATAATTTGAAAATGCCTGATGTCCTTTACATTGTGTGTAAAGTTCATGATGAATGGACCAAAAAAAATGACCCAGAATTACTTGGAAAGATGTCTGGTTCCATTGACCTACATTAAAAGTAAAGTAGGTTTTTTCCTGCTCCTGTAAAGTTACCATTTTGGAGATGCAATGTTTTCTTCCGACAACAGTGATATGGTTCTATATAGAGCCTTTTTTTTAAATGGTTCTAAATAAAATAATTGGTGTTATTTAGAACCATTTTCAAAAAAGTTTTATATAGAACCACATACCACACATTCTCCATCAACCTGAAGAACCATTTCACCATGCGAAAAAACATTTAAGCGTCCAAATGGTTCTACAAGTGTTTGTGGTTCTATGTGGAACCATTTGTCTTTTCTAAAGAACCTTTAAGAACTATGTTTTTGTGTGTGTATGGATTAGGGTGCAAGAAGCGTTGCTGTTTTCCTGCTCTAACTTGTCCATTTAAAGTCATGCAGCGCTTGTTAATTAGCTGATGAACTGAATCCGGTTTGTTAAATCAGGAAAAATACTAAACACTGCAGTGACTTTCACTACCAGGATTGAAAGCTGGCATCTCTTGAACTAAAATGGACAGTAAAGTGGCAATTTTGGGCTGTTTGATCTTTAAATCCCCCCCAAAAAAACTCATCATTGCACTTGCACTTCACCAATGAGCTATATCAGTCCATTGTGACTAAACAGCGCCCCTACAGGCAGCGTGAGATAATGCATGCACTTACATGGAGAAGTTTGAGCCTTACTGTTGTACAGTTAAAATCATTTCTAATGTGTTTGAACCTGAGCAGCGGTCAGATTAGTGTCTGTTTTTTGCCTAAAGGGATGCAGCACACTGACCGGCGTCCTCTATGTGAATGAATTCATGTAATGTTGTGCGAGTTTCACTGAGTTTTTCTCATGTGAAAAGAAAGTGCAGCGTCTCACTCTCATGCACTCTCAGACATGCACAAAGGAAGTAGTGGGGCCTTTATAAGCGCGAGTCGACTGATGTTCTCTTTTTGTGTGAAGTCTGACTGTGTGCTGTACAGGTAGTCTCACAATGCAGAGTCTTTTTCTCTGTCTCTCTCTCTCTTTATTGCTTTGTCTGCTTTAACATCTCCCTGTGTCTGTCTTTCACAGAGGTAACCTCACGCTACCCAAGATCCCGGAGTCTAACATGGCTCTCAGCGTGTTGGGAGTGTTCCTGGGATTGCTTCTGGAAGTTTCTGCTCATGGACCCTCCAGTGTTCCCCGGAGCTCATGGAGACATGAAGGTAGAGTCAATGGAAATAAGCTGCTTTTCAGTGCTTTATGGGGAGTTCTGCTGATTTTTCAACAAAGCTTCTGCGTAGTTCAGTTGTGGAGATGTAAACACGAATGATTAATTGAAGAGAAGGAGTCGTGATGTCAGCAGCACAAACATAGACTTTTAATTTGCTTTGCAAAACCACCACTGAACCTACACGTGCCTTATGAGTTTTTCTGTGGAATGTAGATGATGGTAAAACAGTGGAAAATCTGAAAAATGGAAATAAATAAGTTTTCATTGGGGTCTATTTTGCCTTACAGCACCCTCCATGTGCATCTCCACCAAGAATGGCTTTTCAGAAATGTGTTTTAGGCCAAAATCTTATTTCAAAGCTATCATGAAACAATGTTGTCAGACATTAGGAAGCATATTCATAACCATTTCAGTCTGTAAGTTCCTCTTGAACGGCACATTTCACATCAAACCAATCTTGAAATTATTTACTCCTGCAGAAATTTTGAAAAATTGGAACATTTCCCTTCAGTTCAACTGCTTTTGTCGTTTTCTGAAGTTACCACTTAATTAAATCCACTTTTAAAAGCGTTGATGAGAAGATCTGGGATTATACTAAATGGGTTTTCTGATGTCTGTGTTAGTTTGTGTTGGATAACCGAATTCTGAGCCGTGTATCAGGCTTCATTTTTATGATGTAGGTCTCTCTGCCATGTGGTTTGGAGATTATTAATCACTTAGCAGCTCGATAAATGTTCTGTACAGCTGTAGTGCTGCATGCATTTATAAAACAATATAAAATAATCCTGGCAGGCGCAGTTGAGAGTTGAGGTTTTCAGTAGAATTTCAATCAGCCAGACTCTGCTGTATAATAGCCACTGTCTGCTCACTGCCAGTATTAAACCAGTTTTAACCAGTTAATAACAGTGATGGCCAAAGGTGAGGGTGAACAAGTGAAGACCACCTTTTCCTCTTGGAGTGGAAAAAGTACAGATAAACTGCACTTATATATATATATATGTGCGTGTGTGTGTGTGTGTGTGTGTGTGTGTGTATATATATATATATATATATATATATATGAGAAAAATAGTAAAGATTTCACAAAATAAAGTTTTTTTTTCTTGCAGCAACTAATCAGCAATGCTTGACAAAGTCTAATTAACGTAGTCGTGTGCAGTTTTGGTCTCACTTTTTTTGGATAGTCCACTCTAGTCCCTCTATAGATAATCTGCAGATGTTCAAATTGTTGACAAACTATCTGTTGAAACTCAGGTGATTCTAAACAGTAGTAGGGTTAGAGTTAGGATTTGGACCAGGGTTAGGATTTGGACCAGGGTTAGGGTTGGGTTCAGGTTAAGATTAGGGTTAGGATTAGAGTCAGGTTTAAACTTTAAATTGTCAGTTTAGTAGATATGTAGTTGAATGTAACTTGAATGTAAATGAAGTATCTACAGAGCATCCAAAGTGGACGATCCAAATAAAGTGTTACCTTAGTTTTAATTTAGTTGGATGTTTTGATGGACAGTAAATTCAAATGCAAAGACTTTGAAAGTCTAAATAAAAATGTAAATAGTAAAGTACGAGTTCCAAAATAAATTAGAGCAAAGCAAGTTAGCGACAAATTACAATTACACAAGTATTTTCCACCCATTTACTGCATATTTCTAATTCTGATTTTAGTTAGTTTAGTCCTTGTTTCATAAGAAGTCCTGAACAGTGTCTTTAAAGTCTACCTGTATTATGTCAGCTTTGAACATACATGTTAAAATACGGCTGCACAACACAAGCAAAATATATCATTAGTGACTGGTCAGGAGTGGTCAGGGTGCTCGCAGCACGACTCATTTGCATTACTTCTGCAATATCATTGTATGCTTGTCTGAGCTTATCATGGATATTGCCAGTACTAAAAGGGGAATTCCTCCAATTTTTCAGAATTTCTGTATAATTAAATGGTTAAGATGTAAACAGAGTCATTCAGAGTGGTTTGGTGTGAAACGCCCTGTTCTAGACAAACTTACCGAGTCAGAATTCTTCACAGTGGTGGTGATAGGAACCAGACGTCCACCTCTAAAAGCTCCCTCACAGAAAGATATTACATGAAATGGTTATGAATTCACTGCCTGATAAAGTTTTGCCTGTTTTTAACCCTATTCCTGGTGGAGGGGTACATGCAGGGCATTCTAAGACAAAATAATCCTGAAAGAAAACTCAGGTTTATTTCTATTTTACCATAAACATTCCAGATAAAGTCAGAAGACACATTGGTGGGTTTGGATAGTGAATACAATGGCTCATTTTGTGTTGTGTGTGTATCATGGCTCCTGGTTCCTCTTATCACCACTGTACAGAAATCTGAGTCTGTAAGCTTCTCTACAGTGAACCATTTCACACCAAACCACTCTGAACGACTTTGTTTGCATCCAAAGGATTGAATTCTGCAGCAAACTAAAAACTATCAGTGGAATTCCTCTTTAAAGAACACTGACCAACTGTATGTTTCATTGAAAGAGAGCATAAAACATTAAATAAAGTCATTGTGTTCATAGTTTGTTTTAGTATGTTTAAATGTGGCACTGCTGGTTCTTCTTCTGTCTGTTCCAACATACCAAACCTCAGAGAAACTAAACGTAGTGCTTATTGTTTATCGTTGAAACGTCTTGAAGTATTGCAGTGTTATGTTTTTGCTGTATCGCTCACCCCTAACATTTAACCAGCGCTATAATGTGCAGCTCTACTGTCTGAAAGATTATGTCCAGATGCTTTAGTGGACATTGAGTCAGTAGTGTCCTCTGCCACTAAACCTGCCTGTTTTGGAACGGTCTGATTTTGATGTTTCTCAAAGGCTTGTGAGCAAAGTAATCTCATCTGCAGTAACTGACAAACGTTTTTTGGCACTTTCTCGCTCTGTGCCACCTGCAGTGCGCTTTTATGAGGCAGACAGTTTTGACGGGCACCTTTTTAGAAGCAGTTGAGGTTTTACTGTGACAGGAAGTGGGATATAAGATATCAGCACTGAAGTGGCATCTGTGTCTGAAGCGCTGAAGCAGAAATGGAGACGTACTCTCCGAGTTTCAGCTTTCACCGTCTGTGTGGCGTCTGCCCGCGCACGAGCAACCAGAGACCTTCTACGCACACGCCCACCCCCGGACATACGGCCAGGAACAAACCACTGCCAGCAGCAGATAAATCACTGCACTAGTAGCGTGAAGTATAGCCAAAAATTTATATTGTGGTATAATTCAGACTGCTTTGGTATGTAACCCCACTGTGTGTGTGTGTGTGTGTCATTTTTCAGTTTTTGATATAATGTGAAAATGCCTGTTGCCCTTTACATTGTGTGTAAAGTTCATGATGAACGGACGAAAAGAAATGACTTAAAATGACCTGGAAAAACGTCTGGTTCCATTGACTTACATTAAAAGTAAAGCAGGTTTTTTCCTCCTGTAAAGTTACCATACGAGGTTTTGTTCCCGACAACAGTGATATATATACACCGATCAGGCATAACATTATGACCGCTAACATGAGTAACTCAGCATTTTGGTTTTGTTTATTCACGTCCAGTTCAGCGTGCCTTTAATCCGGCAGTGTGCTATAAATGAAAAGGGCTTTTCAAAGCAGAACAGCGTCCTTTTGGTGGTTTCTGTGGCTGTTAAACAGAAGTCCTCATCATCTTTTAGTCTGAGACCTCCCCCTGACTGCGATTGGTCCACTTGTCACATGGTTGCGTGCGTCACTGTCGGTGATGAGGATCAGAATGGCTTTTCTGTTTGGGTTCAGTAGGAATGTTTTGTTTAGTATTATGTAAAATCCATTTGGTGTAAGTACAGTGCCAGCTTTACCGTGTGGTGTCTTATGCCACTTGTACTGTCATACCAGAAGTTCAGACGCATAAAATATGTATATTTTTTGCCTCACCACACCCTGCATGTACTCTCCAAAATCCTTTTTAGGCCAAAACTTTCTCAAAACTATCATAAAACAATGTTTCAGGCAGTGCATTCATAACCATTTCCTGTAATAACTTTGTGAAGCAGCTTTTAGAGACATTAAACTCTTCAGACGTCTGGTTCCCATCACCACCACTGTAACAGTTTAGATTCAATTTATTTCACACTCATCAGAAAAAACATCAGACTGCTTTGAATGAGTTTACAGTCAATTCTGCAGACATTTCCCTTTAATATTCTGTCTCTGAGAAAGAAGCTTAATACCCACTCACATGTCCAGACACTGGGAGGGTCAGGCATCCTGGTGGACTGAACATCCTGAGAGCACAGCATGTTCTCTCTCCCTCTCTCTCTCTCTCATACACACGCACTCTTGGCCAGAGATACTGAAGAGTTTTATTATGTGAAAGATCAGGCTGAGCCGCTCTTTGTAGCCGCACTAACACTGTGTCATTTGTTGCCTTTTATAAAAGTTGTTATTGCCCTCGCATCACTGCAAATTAAAGGATGCACATTTAGAACAGAACATTTCTAATGTCCCTAAAAGAAGAGGGACGTTCTCTTCCTAGTTTTTGGATCTTCATCTCACTTGGAAAGTTGAAGCTTGCTCGACTCGAACCCTGTGCTTGTGTGTGTGTGTCCAGATGTGAGCTTGGTGGAGTTTTCGGAGCCAGGAGTCTTTAACTACTCCACGCTGCTGCTGAGTGAGGAGAGGGAGGCGCTGTACGTCGGGGCCAGAGAGGCTATCTTTGAGCTCAACATCAAAGATGTGTCCGTTAAGAAGAACCAGGTGAGGACGTCTCTGCTGCGCACCTAATTACAGTCTACAGTCTAAAGTTTATACATTACATTAACTAGAAAGTCTGCGCTGCACACTTTAAAAACGTTGCCCAGGGCATTAATTCAGGGGCATTTTGATTATGCAGCCAATTTCTGGTGTAGCAGTTCTTCAGTTTATTAAGAATAGAATTGAGACGGCATAAAGCCAGTTGATTAGGGTTATACTGAAAATGCCTCCTTGTACACATTTGAAAGCATTTTTAACAACTCAGCCTTCTTCTGGTGGGAAAAAGGGGAAATGAAATTAAGCTGAGGCATAAAATTCCCAATAAATTAGTTCCAAATTGCCAGCTTAACTGTTTTAACCTTGTAAAACACAACTGCAACTAAAGGGAGTCTTAACGAACCTTGTAGTTTTCAGATTTAACAGTTTAATTAATTAACGTTTTGTATCCAGCTGCAGTTATGTGGAATAAACTCCATGCTTCTCTTAAACAATTATGGATTGAATATGTTTTGAAGATGGCTAATAAACAATGTGTGACATTGTCTGTATCTGTAGTGTTTTAAAGCGGTGTTCATTCTTCGTTCTGATCTATCCATCTATCAGTATCGTAAGAGTAGAATCCAGGGTTCGGCAACCTGCGGCTCTTTTACTGCCCTGTTGTGGCTCCACAGCGGAATTAGATTTGTAGGTAAAATTAAAATGATCCTCCTTTACAGTAAAATAAAGCTCTGCTGATCGTTCAACACAGTTTAACAGTAAATGGTCTTAAACACTGGAGTTAATGTAGAACTGCTAATTCACCCTTTAACCCTGAAGATCAGAGCAGACTGCTGGTCACCATAGCAACCCAGACAACAATCTCGCCTGGCTATTAGCTGACGAAACGTCAGAGACAAAGATTTAAGGCGAACATCAATAATTTGGAGACAAATTGACTTGCGTTTATAATCGCTCCAGCTGGTTTCCTGATATGTTTAACCTGCGACAAGAAACTGACCAACACTAAAAAGTCGCAAAGCTGAAGTCAGTTTCTTGTTCAAATTGTCCCGTTCCACCTTAAATGGTGCAGCAGGTACTTTCTGGCACCTCAGGCAGCATTTAAGGTAGAACAGGAAAATGTTCTACCTTAAAAAGTCAAACATTGAGAGATTTTGTGGAAAAGTTTCCTGCCAGAGATGCGAAAAAAGCAGCGATAGCTGAGCTAAAGCTTAAAGCAGAGCCAAGTCAGTCTGTCTGCGTTTACATGTATATTTTTTAGCTTATTCGATGCATCAGCGCATACTGAGACATATTTACAGCCAAGATCGTAAAGTGGACATAAAATGTTGTGGCTCCGAAGGTGGACAAAATGGCTCTTAACATTTGGGTTGGGAACCCTGGTATACTCAGTTTAAGTGGGACAGAATTGCTCTGGAGATTCAGTTATAGCCCTTTATGCAAGGAATCGGGGCTGCATGACAGAAAACCATATTTGTGAGTGTTTTGCAATTGCAGAAGGCCTTGTGATTAAAGATCGGCTTGCATTGTTTTGACCAAAATTATTTACGTTTGGTGGGTCTTGTGAATGCTTTGATTCAACATCTGGAGTATGAGATTGTTCATGATGATTAAAGCATCCAGTGAAGTATTTGTGGTTTGTTAGAGGGCTGCATATCAGCACAGGTCTAAAGAATAAAAACAAAGTGCTCTCTTAAGGTTAGCGTGTTTTTTCTATCGGTGTATAACTGTGTTTCTCTCTCTGAGTAAATCCCCTCTTTGTGTTCAATTAAAGGTGTTTTGGAAAGTTCCAGAGAACCACATAACCATGTGCACCTTAAAGGGGAAGTCTAAGGAGGTAAGGCTTTCAAAAATGATTTGAAACGTCTTTGCTTGAAATGAATAATCACTGTTTTAAACATGTGTTTTCCCATTTTCTGTAAACATGTAGTTTGACAGGTTTGACTCATTTTTTCCTGTTTGCTGCAGACGGACTGTCTAAACTACATTCGCGTTGTTCAAATGTTGGATGAAGACACCCTGTATGTGTGTGGGACGCACGCCTTTCAGCCATTCTGCGATTACCTGGTGAGTATTCTGAATTACAGCATCGTCAAACCTACACTACATAATAGATCAAAAAAACGTATGAATTATATGGTGTGTTAGTGTGTGTTGCGCTGGTACGAGTGGATCAGACACAGCAGTGCTGCTGGAGTTTTTAAACACTGTGTCCACTCACTGTCCACTCTATCAGACACTCCTACCTCGTCAGTCCACCTTGTAGATGTGAAGTCAGAGACGATAGCTCATCTGCTGCTGCACAGTTTGTGTTGGTCATCCTCTAATCCTTCATCAGTGGTCACAGGATGCTGCCCACAGGACGCTGTCGGCTGGATATTTTTGGTTGGTGGATTATTCTCAGTCCAGCAGTGACACTGAGGTGTTTAAAAACTCCAGCAGCACTGCTGTGTCTGATCCACTCAGACCAGTGCAACACACACTAACACACCACCACCAGGTCAGTGTTACTGCAGTGCTGAGAATGATCCACGCAACTTTTGCGGTGCTCGCTGGGCTCGAGTTAGAAAGCAGTATTGACTTTGGTTTATGTGTGTATTTTTTGTCAGTTTTCTTCTGCTATTTTGCACGATAAAATTATTAAAGATTTACTTTGGTTGTTAAAAATATTTATTAAGAAGTGATATTTTACAACATATTTATTTATTTATGTTTAGGTTTATATCATGATTATATACCGAAAACTTCTAAAATTTTAGTATGCTGCGATATGTATTTTTTGGCCATACAGTTCAGTACTACCACAGCACTGCTTATTAATTTTAGCAATATTTTAGCATTATATTTGATAGATATTGACCATTACATCTATGATAAATCCCCATAGAAGAGCATTGTGCTGTTGAAAAGTTGTTTGTGTAGTTTTTTAATCATATTTAGTCCATTTGTCTCCGTTTTAGGACCTGCCAGTTAGGTAAATACAATATACATTGTTCACTAGGTGCTTCAGATTATTTTAAAAGAACATTTTGAAATCCATGTTAGAAATATATAGCAAACATATATTAATAGTAATAGTTAATCAATTAAAATATGTTTCCTTTGGTGTCATTTTAAGTGAAGAAAATTGTCCAATCAGAACAAGCCATGCTATGTAAGACACTTTTAATGCAGAATAGCAGCACTCTGGAAGATTATTAAGGCAAACTTACATATCATTCGATACATTATATATTCAGAGAATATCATGCTACTGAATTTTGTCAGTGTTTTCCAGCTCTAGGTTAAAGGCCCATTTCCATGTTGCTGATTTCCACATTATTATTATTACGAAAGCTGATATCAGGATAAAAAAACGATATATTGTCCAGCCCAGTTACAAAGGCCGATTTCTAGTCCAGCATTCCACTCCTCTCTCTCTTTCTCTCCCTTATTCTCTCTCCCACTGCCCTGCCCTTTAGCAAACATGACTGATGGCACAAATACAAGACACATACTTTTATTGCTGTTCAGCCCAGCAGTGCTGAAGGTCAGACCTGCCCTTTCCGACATGTTGAGTATCCTTTCCTGTTTCAGGAGAGAAGATAAAGAAAGAAAGCTCTTTGGTGCCAGATCTCCGCCTTGTTTTTCCACCTGAAAGCTTTCTGGCTTTTAGTTCACTTTGTCCGGCAGGCTCTGTCCATTCCAGAGTGCGCTTTCAGTCAGCAGGGCTGAGTTAAACAGCACCAAAGCAGTTTTAGATCAACCTGTGATATATGAGGTTGATCACTGACGCTGGGTACATAGCGTTCATGCTTGGAACACAGCAGTCTTCTTCATAACCTGTCTGCACCCATAAATCTCTGGTATCTGGTCTTGAATTGGACTCAGATAAGTTAGTGGTATTATGATTTGCATATTAAAGAGAGGGGAGGGGGGGTGAAACGTGATATTATTGGTTAATATTATGTTTCCCCACCTGCTGGTGCGAAGTGATGTCATCAAAAATCTGGACATGTTTTAAAGATGGGGCAAAAGTCGTTACACTTTGATGGAAGATTGCAATAAAACAAGGATTTAGACCTTTAGATGATATGATGAATATTTGAATAAATGAGGTAAAAATGTCTTTTAACTTCAGATTTGATGTCAGGACTTTAAATTTGCATACTGTTGCACTCCTAATATAACTTTAAACCTTTGAATGTAGATCATTGATCAGCGTTTTGCTATTTTCTTGACTAAGGTGGGACAAAATAGGGTGATTAAGGTGGCTCTGAAGTTGTTTGAAGGAAACGTAGTTGAGTGAACTGCTTATCTTAGCTGATTCACTTGTTTATTATTGTTTTGTTTTTTTTCTTGTTTGTTTTTGCAACTGTAAGTGACATTATGTTGACAGAGAAGTGGTTTCCCCATTTAGTTTTGAAGTGGATGACGCAAGGAAAGCACTTCCCATTGGCTTGAATAGGCTTGCACAGTAACTCCTGGTTGCAGTAACACTGACGTGGTGGTGGTGTTTTAGTGTGTGTTGCGCTGGTCTGAGTGGATCAGACACAGCGGTGCTGCTGGAGTTTTTAAACACCTCAGTGTCACTGCTGGACTGAGAATAGTCCACCAACCAAAAATATCCAGTGTCCTGTGACCACTGATGAAGGACTAGAGGATGACCAACACAAACTGTGCAGCAGCAGATGAGCTATCGTCTCTGACTTTACATCTACAAGGTGGACTGACGAGGTAGGAGTGTCTAATAGAGTGGACAGTGAGTGGACACCAGCAGCACTGCTGTGTCTGATCCACTCAGACCAGCGCAACACACACTAACACACCACCACGTCAGAGTTACTGCAGTGCTGAGAATGATCCACCACCCAAATAGTACCTGCTCTGTGAGGGTCCATGGGGGTCCTGACCACTGAAGAACAGGGTAACAAAGTATGCAGAGAAACAGATGGACTACAGTCTGTAACTGTAGAACTACAAAGTGCACCTATATAGTAAGTGGAGCTGATTAAATGGACAATGAGTGTAGAAACAAGAAGGTGGTCATAATGTTATGCCTGTATATGATCTGTAGCCAAATTAACCACTACTTGTTTACTTGTTTTCAGTGCAGCTGTAGCTTTGCTTGAGACAGACCCCAGTTTTTCCCTGTTCACCTCCTGCAGTTCCCATAGATTAGCAGTCTTTTCCCATGTACTGCAGAAGCAGAGCTGGGGGATGGGGGATCAGTGCTATCTGTTCTGCTCTCTTTGGTGTTTAGCTAGCAGTTGTTTATGCTGATCTGGGTTTCCTCCACAGCGTGTGAAAGTGGTGGAAAGCCAGAAGGAAGTGGAGCTGAGAAAGATGATAAAAGCTGTGAGACGTAGACGGCTCACTGTCTCTGTTTGTCTTTTTGTTTTAACCCTTGTGTGGTGATGTTGTTACTCAGTGGTCTGGTGGACCCACCACATTATTGTTTTTTACATCAATACAGCCACAACTGTTTATGTAAAAAATACCAGATGTTTAAAATATCACAAGTGTCCAGCGTAGGGTTCTCCTTTAGCAGCTGTAGCCAGTCAGCAGCCTGTCCATGTTGTCCACCCTCACACACACACACACACACACAGACACACACACACTAACAGCAGGCCATGTAGGAGGAGAACAGAGTGAAGGACACAGCACCTCCACACTTTTACTCCCCGCAGGTTCACCCAACACCACATGTGTAATATAAATGTGTGGGGGGTGAACAGAGTGAAGACACTGAAAATGGGTTATTTTATATGTTCTTCACAGGAAATGAGCAAAATCCAAGAATCTGAGGTTGAAATAATAATAAATCACATGATTTTTACTTTTGGTAAACACTGAAAATGGGTCCCACAGACCTGAACACCACACAAGGGTCAAATATATCTACAGGCCAAGGCTTTTCTGCGTGTCTGTTTGGAATGTGTAAAAGGTTTTCCCATAAAATACTCCTAAAAATGGTTCTTCAGTGGTCCTTTAGCAAAGGCAGTGGTTCTGTATGGAACAGTGGGCACTAAAAGAATCATTTCAATGCATAAATGGTTCTTTGCATGGTCAAATGGTTCTTTTGTTGGGGGCAGTCATAGGTTGGAGGTTAGGGAACCAGCCTTGTGACCGGAAGGTCGCCGGTTTGATCCCCTGAGCCGACAGTACGTGACTGAAGTGCCCTTGAGCAAGGCACCTAACCCCCAACTGCTCCCCAGGCACTGCGGATAGGGCTGCCCTAGTCACTGCATGGATGGGTTAACCACTACTGTTATGAGTCAAAGAACCTCTTTTCAGTACATACATAGAACCCTTTTTTAGTTTAGTTTTACATTGTAAAAATTGGTAAAAAATGTTTTTTATAATATTTATCAATTGAAAATCTTTTGCATCATTCTCACTTTCTACCCTCCCTCCCTGCTTCCCCTTTCCCTCTTTCGAGACTATTTTCTGTCACCTTTTGTCACCACTTTAATTTTCCTCTCTCTACTCTTTTCTTTAATTGTATAAAGCATACGTCCATAGCATTGGACATATAGTTACTGTATATACACTTTATGGCCAAAAGTATGTGGACACCCCTCCTAATTATAGAGTTCAGAAGTTTAGTAACACATCCATTGCTAACAGGTGGATAAAAGTGGGCACACATCCTTGCACCTTACGTAGACAAACCCTGACAGTAGAATGGGCCGTACTAATGAACTCGGTGAGATGAAACGTGGCACTGCTATGGGATGCCATACAATTTCTGTCCTGCTAGATCTGCCCTGGTCAACTGTAAGTGCTGTTGTTGTGAAATGGGAGCATCTTGGGCAGACCGTGTGCTGAGGTGTGTTGCTTTCCTCTGTTACATCACTCACCACAGAGTTTCAGACTGCTTAATGGGCTGGGGCTGTTTTTCAGGGTTTGGGCCTCTTAGTTCCAGTGAAGGGTGATGTTAATGCTACCGCATACAAAGACATTTTAGACTATTACATGCTTCCAACTTTGTGGCAGCAGTTTGGGGAAGAGCCTTTCCTGTTCCAGCAGGACTGAGCCCCTGTGCACAAAGCAGCTCCATAAAGACATGGTTTGATGAGTTTGTTGTGGAGGAACTGCGCAAAGCCCTGACTTTAACCCCACTGAACACCGTTGGGATGAACTGGAACATCGATTGCGGTACAGATCTTCTCATCCAACATCACCCTCCAAAATCTTCTGGAAGGGCATCCTAGAAAAGTGGAGGCCTTCACAGCCGCAAAGGAGGGCCTCTTCTTTGGAACAAGCCCTTGGTTTTGGAACAAGATGTCCAAAAAGATTATATCGGTGTGATGCCTGTGTGTCCACATACTTTTGGCCATATAGTGCATTCCCAGATCATGAGCAGCCCCCCCATTGTAACCATCTCCAGTTAACTCCTTAAGCTCTATTGTTTGTTCACATCTTGAGGGTTATTGTTAATAAATATCTCTCTCTCTCTCTCTCTCTCTCTCTCTCTCTCTCTCTCTCTCTCTCTCTGTCTCTCTCTCTCTCTCTCTCTCTCTCTCTCTCTCTCTAGTCTTTAAAAGACTTCAGTCTGATGGAAAAGCAGGAGGATGGCAGAGGGAAGTGTTCGTATGACCCAGCGCAGAGTTTCACCACAGTGATGGTTGGTGAGTGTCTTAAACCCCCCTCAGCACACTTGGTGCCTCTTCTTAATGTGGAGGTCCAGAACCAGGGGTTTGTTTATTTTTCTCCAAGGGAAAATGAGCCTGTATGTGTTTGTCAGACTGATGCAGCAGTAGTTCCAGTTTTTTATGTATGTTCTAAAAAATAACCTGAATCTGTATGTGTGGAATCCTGCACTAGAAATGAACAGTATACATATTTTTATAGTTATTATGAAAATAATTACCTCAGAAAATGCTTCTCTGAATGTGCCATGGATAAAATCAGTCCCAAAGGATCAACTGCATGTTTTATTACAAGAAAAGCATAATTTTTTAATGGATTTAGTACAAGAACAGAAAGCACTGTATTAATAATTTTAATAGTAGTTTTTTGTTTGTTCCAACTAACTAAACCTCAGAAAAACTGAATATGGTGATGCTTATCGTGTGTTATCAAAACGTCTTAAAGCATCGTGAAGTTACAGTCATATGCAAAAGTTTGCACAAAATTGTAGGGGCAGTTGTGGGCTTGTGGGGACAGTCTGGGCTGGAGGTTGGGCAACCAGCCTTGTGACCAGAAGGTCGCCAGTTTGATCCCTTAAGCCGACAGTACGTGACTGAAGTGCCCGTGAGCAAGGCACCTAACCCCCAACTGCTCCCTGGTCGCCGTGGATAGGGCTGCCCACCGCTCCGGGCAAGTGTGCTCACTGCCCCCTAGTGTGTATCTGTTCACTAGTGTGTATGTGGTGTTTCACTGCACGGATGGGTTAAATGCGGAGGTGAAATTTCCCCATTGTGGGACTAATAAGGGTCTCTTAATTTCCTTAATTGATTAAAGTCATATCTTTTGTTGATTTTCTACCACATTCTCTACAGACAACACACTTCTGCATATTATATAATGAGGAAAAAATAAAACATAAAATGTAGCCTGTGCAAAAGTTATGGCACATTTAATATTTTATGTTTATTTTTTTCCCATAATGTTAAACTCAGTAAATAAGTTTGCAGAAAAACATTCATACAGATATTTTGCCATATTGTCTGCTCCCACCCTGCACGTTCTACATTTGGTTCAAGAAAGGTTCTGTGACTTGTAACAATAGCCTTTGATGCTGTATAGAACAAAGAACGATATCACTGTTGTCAGTTCAAAACCTATTTCTTTAAGGTATATAATTTAAAAACACCTCCTGCCTTTGCATTGTGTAAAAATCTGATAATGAAAGGACCAATACATCACATTAATTGCATTATAAGAATGTTTTTTTTTCTACCTGAAAAGGTTCTAATTTGGAAATATAGTATGTACTGTATATAGTAAAGGAGCAGTGGTTCTCAGTCCTGGTCCTGGAGAACCACTGTGCTTCATGTAGTGCTCATCCTGCTCCAACAGGGCCTCTTAATGAGATTATTAATTGTATCACATTCGCATGGAGCAGGGAAAACTGTGGAATATACAGGGCCGTGCTGCTCCAGGACCAAGACTGAGAACCACTGCAAAGCAGAATGTAATAACTGACAATTTTAAAGGGTAACTCCACCAATTTTTCAAAATACCTGCATAATGAACTGGTTAAGATGTAAACAGAGTCATTCAGAGTGGTGTGGTGCAAAATGTTTAGTTCTAGAGAAGCTTAAGAAGTCAGAATTGTTCATAGGGGTAGTGAGAGGAACCAGACGACTGAGGAGTTTAAGGCCTCTGAAAACTACATCACAGAAAGTTATTACATTAAATGGTTATGAAAACTCAACCTGATGTCTGAGACATTGTTTTAGAGTAGTTTTGAGAAGTTTTGGCCTAAAACGTATTTTATTCAGTTTATTCTAATCTGTTCATGGTGGAGGGATACATTAAGGATATTCTAAGGCAAAATAGTCCCCCAAAAAAATTACATAACATGTAAAAACCTCAGAAGACTTTGGTGGTACGTTGGTGGTTTTAGATAGTAAATAAAATGGCTATATTTGTGTTGTAGACATCAGGACCCCTGGTTCCTATCACCACCACTGTAAATAAATCAGAGTCAGTAAGTTTCTCTACAAATGAACCATTGAAGGACATTGTTTACATTTCAACCACTGAATTATGCAGACAAGAAAAATTGGTGGAATGCCCCTTTCACCCTTTTGAGGCAGCTGTAGCACGATTAGAATGGCACCAATTAAGAATTCAGATTGTTCTTTGAGTTCAGGTTCTGTAAATAACCATTGCTTTTACCTAAGAACCCTTGAAGTGTTGTTGGCTGTATATGTTATTGTTTGTGTTTTGTTTAGACGGGGAGCTGTACTCGGGGACGGCGTATAACTTCCTGGGCAGTGAGCCGATCATCTCCAGATACTCTCTCTCCCAGAGCCTCCTGCGCACTGAGTACTCCACGTCCTGGCTCAACGGTACACACGCATACTCATACACGCTCTCGGTTACTGTGGCTGCTTCAGCTACTGTCCAGAGCTCCAAGGAACCCAGCCTTTCCACACCTCCACAAACCCAACTACGCAGACTCTCAGTGTCTGTCCCTTTGTGGGCTCTGGTTGATTGGGTGAATTTCTGAATGACCAAAAATGTTTCACACTGCCTGCTTTTGTGGGTTCCTTCACATGCTATCGTACTCAGCAGGGCAGGTCAGAGATCAGTCAAAACCAGCAAAGGTCTGTTTTGACCTTTAAAAGAAGAGAGAGGACCATGGTGGTTCCCCTCCTCTCCCCTCTGTCCTCAAAAGAAATCATTTTTGAAGTTACCTCTTTAAACAAAATGGTAGTTTCAGCAGCAAAAATGAAACTAAAACTGTAAAAATGCCTTTTTTAGTTCATAACAGGCTTTATGTAGACTTTATGTAGGCTTTATGTAGGCTTTCCGTGGGGCAAGTATTGGAAAGAAAATCAAAAATTGAACTGAATTAAAATTGAAATGTAAACAATCAAAATTTGTTGGGGTTGTTACCTTCCTACTGGTTTCGGCTGTTAGCAGTGGTTTTCAGTGAGCTGCATTAGGCCTGTTTTCCACTGAGAAGCAGATCCAGAATCGATGTTTCACACATGCCCCAAGTGATTCAGTGACGTTTTCAGTAATGCAGCGACTAATCTGTGAGCCACAAATGAGTATAGCGTCTACGGAGGACCTGAAGAGCATATTTTATCTCCATATAGCTGTAAATAAAAAGTATCATACAGCAGCTTTTTCATATTGTATTGCTCAGTACAAGCTTCAGTACACACCAACTATACATTCAACAGACTGGAACAGATAAAGGACTGATGAGGTTGCACTAAGTGTAAAATATATAAAACAAGCATGTCAGCGATGAGGGCCGACCGCCACCGCTCTGAAAATATCGCTTCCTCTTTACCCCAAAATTTCCTCTTTTCCCTCCACTGAAGGAAATCAATGGCAGAATGTTGAGAAAGTTAAAATTTAAGAGCCACAAATGTCAAAGGACATCTTACACTGCCTTTCAGAGACGTTGCACACAGATTCACATACATACCAGCACCGATATACACATGTATTAGCAACCACCTGAAATACCGAAGCAACAGTCTAGCAACACCTTAGCAGCCACCTGGGACAACATAGCAACAGCCTAGCAACACCTTAGCAACCACCTGGGAGAACATAGCAACAGCCTAGCAACACCTTAGCAACCACCTGGGATAACATAGCAACAACCTAGCAACACCTTTGCAACCACCTGGGATAAGATAGCAACAGCCTAGCAACACCTTAGCAACCACCTGAGATACTGTAGCAACAACTTAGAAACCATCTGAGATACTGTAGCAACACCTTAGCAACCACCTGGGATAGCAACGCCTTAGCAACCACCTGGGATAACATAGAAACAGCCTAGCAACGCCTTAGCGACCACCTGGGATAACATAGTGACGGCTTTGTCAAGCCAGCTTAAAGTCTGTTCATGAACTTGCCATCTTCTAGTTTGCACTTTTATAATGTTGGATGCTCGAATAAACTAACATATTAACATAAGGCCGAATTTCAGCCACTCCTCATTTTTACAGTATCAGAAAATACATCGAAAAGAGACGCCACAGCAACTCAATTACGAATTTTATCTGTATGAAATTAGAAATTAGGAAATAACTGTACAGAAAAATGTGATCTTGATTGGTGTTGTAAATGCAGTGAAATAAAGATTTTGCATTTTAGCACAGTAACAGTAACCGAACCCTAACTCACTTCGAACTATCAGTCAAACCTAATAATCGATCTTTAAGCTGTTGCCCGATGATGATGTCATCGTGCACCCTTTCTTAATAATATGTGCTTAATTGCAAGTGAACATTTCCATATAATATAGTGGAGGCAGTTTTTAAAGGGATTTAAAAATAATTGTGCGTGAATATTGTGCGTGTATAGGTATGGTGGCTAAAGGTCTTCGTGCTTTCTGCCCTGTCCTGTGTGCAGAGCCCAGTTTTGTGTTTGCTGACGTGATCCGGGAAGGGAAGAACAGCGCAGATGGAGACGACGACAAGATCTATTACTTCTTCACTGAGGTTTCTGTGGAATACGAGTTCTTTGGCAAACTGCTGATCCCCCGCATCGCCCGCGTCTGCAAGGTAAGGTCACCACTTACACCTGCCATCTGCTACCTGCACGCATCACACCCATATCTCTCTATCCCATATCTCTCTATCTCTTTCTCTCTTTCTGTCTCTCTCTATCTCTTTCTGTCTCTCTCTCTCTCACTTTCTCTCTCTCTCTCTTTCTCTCCTCTCTCTCTCTCTCTCTCTCTCTCTCTCACTCTCTCTCTCTCTCACTCACTCTCTCTCTCTCTCTCGTAGATCTAGTTTTGTCTCCTTCTGTCGCTGATGTCTTAGTTTTTCATTTTCTATTTTTTGTTTTTGTCTTAAACATGTATAATCATTATTTAATTTAATAGTAAAACTATATATTTATGAATTTCCATTTTTTTTTTCCTGATGTCTTTTAGTACAGCCGCTTGCAAAAGTTTGAACACCCCTGTCAAATTACACACATCCTCTACAGAGCGCAAACGTACATATGGCACCTTTCACTATTTTCAGTGCACAGTTTTATTTATTTGCTGACAAAATAAAGCATAAAATATACTATGTGCATAACTTTGCACAGGCCACATTTTATTTTTCCCTCCCGAATATGTTAAATTAGACTAATAAACAGAAATTGTGCAGTAAACTGTGCAGAAGTGTTTGCCCTGTAGAGGAGATGTGGCTTGTTTTCACTCAGAAAATCACCAAAACAGGTCATTTGACCAGGGGTGCCAAAACCTTTTGCACAGGACTGTATGTAGAAGACATTTAGAGTGTATGAAAAGGACAACATGCTAAATTTCATCGTTACCCCCTCTGCGGTCAGCTCCTTAAGCTCCACATCCTGAAGCTTATTATTAATGAAATGGAAAACAATGCAGAGTGGCTGAGTTATTATTGAACTATAGGAGTGAGGGAAGGGAGTCTGGACTGTGAGTGTTGTGGTTAAAACACCCTCATGTCTCTCTCAGGGGGATTTAGGAGGCCAAAGGACTCTGCAGAAGAAGTGGACATCCTTCCTGAAGGCCAAGCTGGTGTGCTCCATGCCTGAGCTCAATTTCGTCTTCAACGTGGTTCATGATGTGTTCATTCTGAAGACCCCAGACTGGAGAGAAACGGTCATATACGGAGTCTTCACCTCACAGTGGTAAGCCTGTGCGCAAGTCAACACAAACATGTTGAGGTGCTTGCTGGCTTGTAGATTCACTATTTGCCCATTTTAAAAGAAACACCTACCATTTACATCGATCAGGCATAACATTATGACCACCTCCTTGTTTCTACGCTCATTGTCCATTTTATCAGCTCCACTTACTATATAGGTGCACTTTGTAGTTCTACAGTTACAGACTGTAGTCCATCTGTTTCTCTGCATACTTTCTTAGCCCCCTTTTACCCTGTTCTTCAGTGGACAGGACCCCCATGGACCCCCACAGAGCAAGTACTGTTTGGGTGGTGGATCATTCTCAGCACTGCAGTGGTGGTGTGTTGGTGTGTGTTGTGCTGGTATGAGTGGATCAGACACAGCAGTGCTGCTGGAGGTGGTCATAATGTAATGCCTGATCGGTGTATATCGAACCAAATGAATTTCCTGCATACAAGCTCTAGTTTTCAATCTCCTCAAACAGATTTTAGATGCACAAAACCTTTTATTTATAAAATAAACTTAAATATTACAAACAACGGAGAGGAAAAAAATAATGACTAGGCCTGATATAAAATGATGTTATAGAAAATGATGTTGATTGAAATGATTTACTAAACTAATTTACAAAGAATCACTAAAGAAAGGAAGAAAGGAAAAGTAAATTAGACTACAAGTGGAAAATGAGTGATGACAAGTAGAATTTTGTCTAATACTCTGCTTAAACACCGCTGGGCCTCTCGTAAAACGTTGAGCAAAACGCCAGTGGACCACCAGCTTTGCCATCAGCGGGCCAACAGTGGTCAACTATCCTCTTGCTATCAGGGACGTTCCACTGGGATATCCGGCACAACAGCATTACTGGGGTTTTTAATCACTCACTGTTCACCTTGTTACTCCACACACATTGTCGGTGTACAATTAGAGACTGCGGCTCAACTTTTTCCATGCACTATTTGTCAGTCATCCTTTAGGTCTTCCTCATTGGCCAGTTTCTGACCACAGGACCACTGCTGGCTGGACATTTTTTGGGTGGTGGACCGTTCTCCACCCAGCAGTGACACTAAAGGGCTAATATCATGGAAAACCTACTTTTCCTTGTTTTTTTGAGTTAGATGTAGTATGTGCACATTGTTTAAGTATCAAAACATACCGGTCACTCCCCGGTCTACAATAGTCCCTGTATGAAACCTAAGCTGTAAAAACATCCTGTTTTGAATTCATTGTTTTTGTGATGTCGCGAAAGTCAGTTCAAAGCCAATTTAGCCGCACCCATTCACACTTAAGGAGTTTTCCAGCCTGGACTGGTTTTTTGAATGAGGCACAGTTCAGGGCAGCCTGACCTGGATGGGGGGGCGGGGGGTGGATCAAATACAATAAAAATTCACAACGGCCCTTTAAACACCCCCCAGCAGCACCGCTGTACCTGATACTCCTATAACTATAACTCGCTACCATTAGTGTGTCACTGCTGTGCTGGGAATGTTCTCCCACCCAAATAATATCTGGTCAGTGGTGGTCCTATTTTCACTGATGACAGGTTTAGAGGGGGCTTTTAAACTGTGCAGCGACAGATGAGCTACTCTCTGCAACTGTAAACCTGTTTCTGATAAAATGGCCAGTGAGTGAGTATTTCATGTGGAGTTTCTGTTATTCTGTAAAACCCCATTGAACCTGAGTCTAATCCCTTTCTTCCTATTTGAATACATGAAACCACTTCTATCTCTTAGTCATATCGTGACTGTCATGTTGTGACTTAGTCACCCGTCACCCGCATAAAGGGACACAATCAAGTGTCGCCATCAGAACAGGAACATGCTGTTGGGTTGAGACAGTAGAACTGGTTTTGAATGAAATGGGGAAGTTGTTAACGTTCTCTCTCTCTCTCTCTCTCTCTCTCTCTCTCTCTCTCTCTCTCTCTCTCTCTCTCTCAGGGGTAATGTGGGTCTGTCTGCTGTGTGTGCGTATAACATGACATCGGTGGACGAAGTGTTCTCGAAGGGGAAGTACATGCAGAAAGCTACAGTGGAGCAGTCACACACTAAGTGGGTCAGATACAACGGTATCACGCCCACGCCTCGACCCGGAGCGGTGTGTATATACCCGTATAGAGAACCTCTGCACTGTACTGTACTCAAATTACCACAGTGCTAACCTCACTGCAGTTATAAGTCAGGTACAATGCATGTAAGTAACAAGGCTGTGCTACATTTAGCCAGAAATGACCTACGATGGGTGAAGTTACCAAAGAATCCCTCTCTCATAAGTTACACAGGAGTGTTTTTAAAAGGCCCATATCATGGAAAACCAAATTTCTTCCTCACTTTTTTTTATTTAAGAGTTCGATGTTGGGCAGGGGTGTCAGGCTAAAGGGACCATAAAGGGACCATATTAGAAAATGTCATTGAATCTGTGGGCCAGAGAAAAAAAATGGTTTTATTTCCGTTGTTTTTTCAAAATACACAAAAACTTCAGCAGTAAAATACAGGCACTTGTAGTAAATCTTGAAATATTACATGAATACATGAAATATTCAAAATGTAAAAGTCCCCAGGAGCTCAGTCTTTTAAACCTGCCTGTTTGCTTGAACTAGACACCTGACAGACCTTCTTTGCTGAAAGTTCATTAATACTTGGGCTCAGTTTCTGTGCTGCTGAGCTGACGTTGGGTGTTTATGTTGAAATGCAGCTGGTGTGTTTGGTGATATGACTGGTGTGGAATTGTGTAGAACTGAGGTGTAATCCCATAGACTGTTGTTGGGGTGGGAGAGTCAGAGCGAACATTATGCTGCAGTGCATGCTGGGGACTGTAGTGCAGCACGTTGTGAAACAGGCTAATATTAACAGAAAATTAAAATACGTCTGCGGGTCGGATAGGATTGTGTTGGGCCTTGTGTTTGATGTATAGGATGTAGGGTGTAAACACTGTTGAAGTCTCATACAGTCCATATATATAAACTGTGCTGCCAAAACAGCCTGATTGAAAACATCGTTTTGTGATGTCACACAAAGCAGTGCATTTGCATACATCCAGCTAGAAGGCCTAAAGCAGTTTAGCCTCACCTATTCACTTTTATAAGGAGTGTTTCAGCTTAGACTGCTTTCTAAATGAGGCACAATACAGGGCAGCCAATCAGAACACGTCATTTGCCTAGATCAGGTCTTAAAGGCACAGTAACAAAAGCAGCCTGTTTAATTATAAGGGATATAAAGATGGGCTGTCGTATGGAGAGAGGCTGTGGTCAAGTAAAAATGAATTATATCTGCTTTTCGGTACCTGAAGCCACTCAAGCCATACCTAGGCCTGCTCTTTTAAGAGGACTCAGATATTCTCAAACTGTTCTTGATATGATGAGCTTTTATCTGTTCTTGATTTTTATCAGTTTTTTCTTTCTATCATTCATTTTGCACGTGCAGAACACAAATGGCTCTGCAACAATTTGTTACAAACAAATTCAAAAACTTGCATGTGGCGCACAAACCTGACCCACTTTCCGCTTCCCTTTTTCCACAGTGCATCAACAATCACAACCGCAGGCAGAACATTAACAGCTCTCTGCTGCTGCCTGATAAAACGCTGCAGTTTGTGAAGGACCACCCGCTGTTGGCTGACCCCGTGCTGCCCATCGGCAACGGACCCCGGCTCATCGCCAAAGATGTCAATTACACCCAGATCGCCGTGGAGAGAGTCCCCGCCCTCGACAACAATGTGTATGACGTCATATTTACTGGCACTGGTAAGTGTGCGTTGTGGAAGTGGTCAGTGGTTCAGGTAGATTTGACAAAGTGAGGTTTTTCAGTTAACTAGATAAAATAATACAAAAGTCCAGCCTGTCCAGTAGGAGAAGAGATGAGACATTCCTACTGGACGATCCTCACTTTTGGCTAAAGTCAAAAATTCTGCCTTTTGAAATGTCCTCAAGTTTGTTTTTGACTAAGTTGTTGTTGTTGTAATCAGATAAAGGGGTCCTACATAAATCGGTGGTCTATGAAGGAGGTGTGCACACTGTGGAAGAGATCCAGCTCCTGAAGATCCAGGAACCGATTAAAACTCTACTGCTGTCCACACAAGGGGTACGACATCGAAACCGTACAAAACCTGCCTGTAGCTCTCGCAGGCCTTGTTCACACATACTGCTTCTGCGTGGTGTGAGCGACACGGCAGCGTGAGCACTACAGCTCGAACGCCTTTCACACATACAGTGTTTGTGCTGTGGAGTGAGCAGCAAGAAAGATATACAGACATTCCTTTTTTTGACAGATGGTCAATAAAAATATAATTTATGAAAGTACACGATATGTTTGTTTATCCTCAACAGCATTCTGACTTGTGTTTAGGCAGAAGTTTAAAGGCTGGTAGACAAACCAGGAAAACTGTCTGCAGCACAGAATGTATAACTAGTATTTCGTCATAAATTAAATTTTAGAAATAGCATTTTTAAGGTTGTGTACAGTTTTCTATTTAGCCTTCTATTTAGTTTTCATAGATTTTCATGGCTTATTTTAGTGTATTTTGCTGCTTGACGCGTCACATGGAAAAAATCGGCGCCAGGTCTATTCTCTAAATACAGCGCCGCTACAGTGCGGCATCTGGGACGCTCTGCCGCTTCGCATGTGCATCCTTTGTGAACGCACTGACCAGTTAACACTGGCGCCGAAATGAAAAGCAAGACTTTCTGCGTCGCTCACGCCACACAGACGCAGTATATGTGAATCAGGCCTAAGAATCCAAAAATCTCTCTCTCTCTCTCTGTCCCTCTCTCTTTCTCTCTTTCTCTCTCTGTCTGTCTCTCTCTGTCTGTCTGAACAATCCAATTTCAGTCAAATTCATTATAGCCATATGAGTAGAGACAAAATCAAAATGTATTCAGTAAGTTAATATCATTATGACACTGTTTTCATCATGTGAATGATATAAATACTGGGTTACTTTATCATAGTACACTCATATATATTGTCACTGTTGGGCTAAACCTCATATCTCCAAAAAAAAGTTTATTCTAGGACCATTTCTATTGGTCTGTTGTGAAATATTAAGTAATGAAAGGTGTAGCTGGCACATTTATCAAAAAAATTGGTGTGTGCTGTGAGTGTATATATGTGGGAACGAGGGGCTCGCTGAGTGCAGTAGCTCCAGAACCATGTGTCCTCAGCTGTTGAGGAAAAGGGAAGTTTCCAGCTGTGGAGACAGACAGTCGACAGCCTGTGTAGACAGACGGCTGCAAACTGACCGCACCAAGAAAAAATAAAAAACAAAAAAAGATGATTCATGTTCAGCATCCCCCCGTCGCTTCTATTTTTTTTGGTTTTCCCAGCGCCCGCCCCTAACAAAGGCAAGCAGTTGAATTCGAAATTATTTTCGGATTTAACCCTTGTGTGGTGTTCATTTTGTTACTCAGTGGTCTAACAATGTATGTTAAAAAAAAATATATCAAATGATTAAAACATCACGTGTCCAGCGTAGCGTTCTCCTTTAGCAGCTGTAGCCAGTCAGCAGCTTGTCCATGTTGTCCGCCTTCACACGCACACACACGCATACACTTATACAAACACATACACACACTAACAGCAGGCCATGTAGGAGGAGAACAGAGTGAAGACACTGAAAATGGCTTATTTTATATGTTCTTCACAGAAAATGAGCAAAGACCAGGAATCTGAGGTTGAAATAATAATAAATCACATCATTTTTTCTTTTAGTAAACATTCAAAATGGGTCCCACAGACCACACAAGGGTTAATCATTCCTGAAACTTTAAACCGAACCCGAATATAACCTGAGAATATTGTCTTTCCTTGAGTCCGAACCCAAATGTAGCCCAACAGAATTTGACCCAAACCTACTAGTTTTGCATGGATTTCAAACTCGTGCACTCCACAAGCATGACAGCCATATTTCATTATTGGACTGCTTGGTTCAAACAACATAAACTGTAAAGAATAAAACTGAATTGTGATGAATTGCAGTGCAGTTACTTCAGTACAGTACAGGGTGTCCCAAAAAATGGACATCATTTGAGATGTGAATATCTGAGACATGAAATTCAGAGGGATGTAGATTTTATAACCGATTTCACAGCTTCACAAATGTAATATCTTCAGATACTGGTGGTCGTCCAGATCCCTTTGTCCTGCACAGACAGCCTTCCTCTTTGAGATTTTTGTGCCATGTCCAAATCTGCTTTCCAGCTGGTGCATTTTTACTGAATTTTCTGGAAAATGCTGCTGCGCACTCTTGTTTGATTGTGTTCGAGCAGATTCTAACACACAGAATGCCTTTTCATTTCTAGTGACCGTCATTCTTCAACCTGAAATAAAAAACATTAAAAATTAAACTTGGCTAGTTTTTACACATTTTGTTAAAATTTGAAATCATTTCAGGGAGAATTGGCTGTTATTAGACTACGAAATGATGTCAATTTTTTTGGGACACCCAGTATATCGCCGTTGTTGGAAGAAAACCTCGCATCTCCATTTTTTGTCGTTTTTCAGTTTTTGACATAATTTGAAAATACCTGTTACTCTTTACATTGTTTGTAAATTTCATGATTAATGCACCAAAAGAAACGGCCCGAAATGAAAAAACTCTGGTTCCATTGACTTGCATTAAAAGTAAAGTAGGTTTTTTCCTTCTCCTGTAAAGTTACCATTTTGGAGATACAAGGTTTCCTTCTGACAACAGCGATTTGTTATTGGTTAATGTGTTAAAACTAACCCCAGACTGAAATGATACCTTCTTACTAGAGATTTAATCATGCTTGAAGCTTTAAACTCGAATTATCGAGATGAATTTAATCACATAATGTGTTTTGTGTATATTGTGGATATGGTCAGTACTTAACTGCATGTTTCTTTAGGAAGAGACCATAGTTAGTCTTTGTTAATTGGATTTTCAGCATCACAGTTTGTGAAATGTTGACTAAAAATCGTTCTTTATATTTTTGTTTTTTCCTCAGTTCCAGTTAAAAAATATCATGCATCATGAAAAGTCCTGAAGTATCATCATATAATTTTAACACTATTATTATTGTGATGTATTTAATCACATCATGCCTTTTTGTATCTATGGTGAATATGGTCAGGACTTTACTGCATGGTTTTTTAGAAAGGGAGCACAATTAGTCCCTGTTAATTGGATTTTGCGCAGCAGTTTGTGAAATGTCGATTAAAAGTCATTTTTAATAGTGTTTTTTAAATGTGGTGCTGCCTTTTTTTCTCTGTTCCAGTTAGAAAATATCATAAATCATGAAAATGTCCTGAAATATCATGATATAATTGTTTTGCCCACTCATATGTCTGAACCCCACCACACTTGAAGATGTTTGGGTAGTTATTTCAGGCTCTACTTCTGATGTCACACAAAACATACCCATTGACCTGTTTATGAAGGAAAACTGTTCATTGTTTGTGTGTTTTATGTTCTCCATAGGCCAGAAGCCTGTATGCCGGTTCTGACTCTGGCGTGGTCCAGTCCCCCACTGCGTTCTGTGACAAATACCTCACTTGCGAAGACTGCATTCTGGCTCGGGACCCTTACTGTGCCTGGAGCACTCACGCCGCTTCCTGTGTCAATATTTTCCATAAGCGGGATAATGCACAGCACCGGTTAGTGCTGCATGTACTCACCTGCACCTGCTGAGCTGTGACTGAGGCTGTGTCACGTACGCAGTTTCTCGACGTCTCAGCCTGTAGTTTGTTCTTCTTTCTTTAAATTGCATCGACAGTATAATGAAACTCAGTCACTCAAGCTGTTCTGCGCATAACACACCAGACAAAAACTATTCTGGCATTGGTTCATATCCAGAAACGACCTGATTATACATTGGATGATTTAAAAAAGTATATCGCTGTTATTGGAAGAAAACCTCGCATCTCCAAAACGGTAAAAAACATACTGTACTTTTAATGCAAGTCAATGGAACCAGACTTTTTACCAAGTCATTTTGGGTCGTTTCTTTTAGTCCATTCATCATGAAATTTACAAAAAATGCTTTTTTGTGACATGAACCATGTAAAGTGATTCTAATAGTATTTCTTGCACTGAATGTTTTTTTTAGATATTTTCTGTCAATCAGGATTTTAAGAAAACATACATTTGCATTCAAATGCAAAGTATAATTGCAATACCTAGAAAGTTCCAGTGTTTGATTTTCTGCTTTGCACTCGAACAAAAGGTGAAAGAAAAACACATTTACTGTCATATTCAAAAGTTTTGGCGCCCCTGGACAAATGTTGTTTTTGATTTTCTAAGTGTAAATAAGTGAACACGTCCTCTACAGAGACACACATCTGCACATTTTCATGCGCAGTTACTGTTTATTTGTTGAATTAAACAAAGAGACAAAAAGAATAGAAATTGGCTTATTATACACATTTTACATTTTTTCCAGTATGTTAAACTCAGCAAATAAATAGAAATTTTGCCCTAAAATTGGTGGGAAAATGCCATATTTAAGTTCCCTGTATAGCATATGTTGTCTTATTTTCAGTTAGAAAATCAACCAAACGTGCATTTTTCCTGGGATGTTGACACTTTGACATACAACTCTGTCAATTAAAAAAGGAAACTGTCACTAATTGTGGGCGATAAAGCAAAACTGATGCCGACATTCATCATGCAGACATATGTATAAACACTAATTAGTTTTCATGCGGGTTTGCCAGTGTATCGTCCTCTGAATGCTCAGACAGCCGTGTGTCAGGCATTGATTGCTGTGTGTGGTTTTTTTCTTGCAGGAAGTTACTTCAGAACCTGCGAGGAGATGCTGGCGCGTGTCCGTCAGGTGAGTGCTGTAAACAGCCGTGACATGCATTATGAATCTTTACCAGCCGGATGCACGCTGGAGGAGAGACAATGTGAAAGCAGTCTGTTCTGCATCTGCCGGTAGCGCATTAATGCAGTTAGTCAGTCAGCAGGGAAAGAGAGCTAATGTGGTCTGACACAGACAGTAGGTTTGGGTTCTGAGTGCTCTGCTGGTCTCATCGATTGTAGCAGTTTTTTTCAGAGCAGATTAATGCTGGTGACTTAGACTGCTTGAATCCTGCTGAGGGATTATAAATTTAGTCAAAATGCTGATTTGAGATTTGAGATAGGAATCAGAACCTTCATTTGCCAAGTCAAGAAATAGGTATCAGCGATAATTAAATCCAATAAAATATAGAAAGGAAAAACTAAATATAGCAGGAAAAAAGATACACTGTACAGTTGTATACAAACGCTTGTACAGGCTGGGGGAAAAAATTGTTTTGTTGATTTATTTTAAGTGGAAAAAAGTGACACTTCCTAAACAGAGATCACACTTAAATATGGCACTTTTCTGCACATTTTAGTGCACAATTTCTTGCAGAGTTGAACAGAAAATAATAAAATATAAAATATTCCATAACTTTTGCACAGGCTGCAGTTTATTTTTGCATAGTGTGTTAAATTGTACAGTAAAATGTACAGAAGTGTGTCTCTGTAGAGGATGTTCACTTATTTTCACCTAGAAAATCAACCACACGTTAGATGAGCACCCAAACTTTTGCACATGACTGTACATAAAAAAAGGATATTCAAACAATCCATGAGTAATTTGAATGAGGTGCAGTTGGACTTGCAGTACAGATATTATCAAGTACCGATGGACATAAACCCAGTTTAAACAGCTGACGATGAGAGCGGTTAATTAAAGCAGCAGTGACGTGTGCATCTGTTACAAGTCTTTGGAATAGCTGTTGTCACTGGATGAGTCATTTTATTTTTTGTGACATGAACCAAGTAAAAAGAATTCAAATGTTTTTAGATATTGTTTTCTTTCACACGGATATATTGTGTGACATACAGTTGAAACATTCAAGAAAAAAATACATTAACTTTCATTTTTTACTTACGAAATGCCTCAGACCAAAAAGGAAAAAATGCAAGACATAAGACTGCAGAGGATGTGGGGACACAAGTAGCTGACCGCGTTTCATATTAGGCAAAAAAAAAAGTCTTAGCGGACTTACATTAAATGGAACCAGTGGACAGAGAGCATTAGAAGAGCCCCGACACACTGGACACTTTAAATCCAGGCTCAAAACGTTCCTGTTTGAGCAGCTTTCAGCTCAGTTTAAACACTGTGTTTCTAGACCCTTTCTAGAGCGGTTCTAGACCATTTTCCTCTGTAACAGCACATTTTTTTTATCCTAATCTAACTTTTAATGTTTAATTAGATTTTTTTTTTTGCTAATTTAATTTCTAAATTTAATGCTTTTCTCTTTTAAATCCATTGTTTTAACCATGTTTTAATCATGTTTTTAATTTCTAGTCTTGTTTACCTTTTTGAACAACTGTATTTTCTCATTTGTAAAGCACTTTGAATGACAGCAGTGCATGAAAGGTGTTACATAAATAAACTTGCCTTGCCTGATAAATGATACATTTACAAGCGAAGGTAAAAACATTCTCAAATTTCAATGTAAGTTAATGTAAAAAGATTTTATTCAGAGTAGTTTTGGATCACTTCTGTTGATCCGTTTATCCTGAATTTTTACATGGCAGCTTAAAGCAAATAGCAGCTGGTGTTTTCAAATTGTCCAAAATTTTAAAGTTTAAAAAATGAGATACAGGGTTTTGTTCCAGCAGCGATGATACGGCACCATCAAACAAGTTTACACAGTGTAAGTTAGTGCAGCTCGTTTAGCGTTCAGTAGGTCAGCTGGTGGGATGTTAAGTCACGTACAAAACACATGCAAAAAATAAGCCCATCGATCAGGAACGGATAAATGATGCTGTACAATAAGCAAATGTTAAAATGTTATATTTTCATGCTGGTGTTCTAATTCTGGTTGTCCTGCCACGTTGCAGTTATATTAACCACTGTGTCTTTTCTCCCCGTAATCCTCTCGGCCCTGCAGTGAGGCCACGCATGGCGGAGAGCTACCAGCGTGTGGTGGTGAAGCGGGGCAGTTCGGCGGAGCTCCCCTGCAGGGTGCGCTCTAACCTGGCCCAGGTGCTGTGGAAGGTGAACGGCAGCGTTCTCACCGAAGCCGCTCGCTTCCTGCTGATGGGGGACACGGGTCTGCTCATCTACAGCGTGGCTCCAGAGGACCAGGGCCGCTACGAGTGCTGGTCAGTAGAGGCAGCAGCCGGCAAGAACTTCACCCGCCTGGTTGCTGGATATGAGCTACAGCTGGACCTCCCGAAAAGCGAGTCGTCATCGTCATCGTCTGGACGCTTTCTGTCTTCAGCTGATATCGTTGAGGAGTTGTACCCGGACACCTCCACGGTGCGCTCCACCACCGCAGCGGCCAAAGGTGACAAAGGTAATAACGGTAACGATAACGGCGCAGGAACCCCTCTACTAACGTCCACGGAGGCATCCCCACTAACCCCCCCAACCATCAGCACCACCACTCCCAGCATCATCAACAGTGCAAAACCCCAGCCTAAACTCTCCACCCCCTCTGAAGGCAGCGGCGCGCACCCCCGGCCCGAAACCCTGGACCCCTCAGCCAAGTACCTCCAGTACGACAACAGTGGCGCCCTGCTTTTCCTCTTCCTCCTCTTCTTCCTCCTCTTCCTGTGCGCGCTGTCGTATAACTGCTACATGCAGTACCTGCCGGCGCCCTGCCTGCGCCTCCGCACCGCCCTGCTCGGCTCGCCCAAAAAGCCGCAGCCCGAATACATCGCCTGCGAGGCAGGTCTGATGGAACCCGTCCCGGAGAAACCGGACCTGACTGAGCCGCTACAGCAGAACGGAGCACAGCAGCAGCTCCGGGCGCTCCGAGACACCGGCTACGAAACAGAACCGGAGTGCGGAAACGGAAAAATTCTGTCGCACAGCTACGAGGAGGCCGACGACAGCCCTTCCAAACAGAGGCCGTTCGATATTGACTGCGAATCGCAGCCGATCGAGTACGCAGATGCGGATGCGCCTTAATGAGAAGGTGGAAAACGGAGAAAACGGACACGAATGCGTCTCGTAACCGGATGAATTCTTGTCTAGATGGCTTCTGTACTGAAACCACTCAAGTCTTCGGAGCGATTGGTCTCGCTTTTTGACTTGCTGGTGTTCGACGACCCGACCGCGCGTAAAATATTCGTTTCTGGGGGGAGGAAGTGGCTGATTTGCGTAGTTCAGCAAGCATATGATTCCAAATTGGAAACATGGTTTACCAAATTGGTAAGTTAGCTTGATGTTTTCCAAATTGGAGTTAAATATTTTGTATCGGGGGGAGTGGGGATCGTTTTTTTCTTCTTTTTTCTATTCCCCACATTCTGCCCTGAAGCTTGTATGACAGTCAGTTTGTCCTCCAACCTTGTTGTACTACTCTCAGGGACGTGAATCGCACATCGTACTTCGCCAAATCTTTTTTTAAATCAGCACATTCAGTATCGGAGTGCTCAGTGCATCTCAAACGACACTGCTGGCAGAAACACAAGGGCCGGGGTGGGCATGGACACTGCTGCCAAATGCTGGGGTGAGCAAAGCAATGGGGAATGGAAAGGAATATAGTGAAGGCGGAAGATGCCCGATTCCGCTGAAACGGAGATGAAGATAGCGGTCAGTACTGGACTGACCGAGTCGTATTAATAAATAAACATAAAGGCGATGTAGAGGCAGAGAAAATTCCACCGGGACGTTTGGACGATGTACTAAAGACAAAACCAGATTTACGTTGTATTTTCGACACTGTGAGTGCCTCTCATTCCTTTTACTCTGTGAAAACTGCAGTTCTAGTGACTCTCGCTGTTGGTTCTCTTCACCCTGTGGTCTTGTTCACTTGTGTACGCGAGAGATGACCTCTCTGAGAGAAGTAAATGAAAGTTCCTACGACATGGTGGCCACATGCATTTATTTTTTATTTTCATTTTTAATGAATTTTTAAAGAAGCTTTATGTTTTAGTGTTTAAAAAATGATCTTTATTTAAGTGTAAAAATAGCTGCGCTAGGATGTTTTCAGTTTTAATGGTAGCCTCTCTTTAGACCGTGTGCATTCTCGTCCTGCGGTCTCTGAAAAAGACCCCGCCTCTGACCCCTCCCCCCACTCCTCCCACCTGTATGTGTGCCATTTCTGAATTTCTTACTCTTTCATGATCCTTAGTGCACTCTGTTCTCTCTCTCTCTCTCTCTTTCCCGGTCCTTCCCTGCCTCCATCCCTCCTGCGCACTCCTCCCTGTTTCCTTGCACAGTTTGCTCCTCTGTCCGCTCTGGAGGAGGCCCCTCAGTCTCTCGCTCCTCCTCCTCCTCCTCCTCCTCTCCCTCCTCCTCCTCCTCAGTGTGGGGGGGTGTTGATGGTGGGGGGGCCAGGCTACTCCCCCCGCTGCTCCCTCAGCAGTCCTGGGGCGTCCACTCCCACCAGGCCTTCCTGCTCTACTGCCTGGCCCTGGGTGAGTGGTACCTCTGACCTCCAGCCTGCAGTACCGTCTCCCTCTGCTCTCCTCTCTTCTCCTCTTTCATCTTCTCTTCTCCTTTGTCTTCTCCTCTTCTTCTCTTGTATCTTCTCTTGTCTTCTCCTCTTGTTTTTTCTCTTCTCTTCTCTTCTCTTCTCTTCTCTTCTCTTCTCTCCTCTCCTCTTCTGTTTTCTCTTATCTTTTGTCCTCTGTTTTCTACTCTCTTCTCTTGCTTTTTCCTCACTTCTTTTCTCTCCTGTTCTCTTTCTTTATCTCAGTATTCCTTGCTTGCTGTTGCTGTGCACCTGTTTTGGGTCTCTCTCTCTCTCTCTCTCTCTCTCTCTCTCTCTCTCTCTCTCTCTCTCTCTCTCTCTCTCGCACTCTCACTTTGTTGGTGTGTTTTTTCTCTCTTCTTTTTTTCTGTCTTTTTTTTGCTTCATATTTCTCACTTTCAGTTGCGGTCTGTTCCTTTCTCTGTTATATCTTCCTCTTTTTTTTGCTTTTTCTCTTTGATCTCTGTGACTTCCTTTTTTCTCACAATCGATCTGTCACTCTGTTGTGTTCTTTCTCTCTCTCTCTCTCTCTCTCTCTCTCTCTCTCTCTCCTTTCTGGTCACCTCTGTCTCCATTATTCCTCTGATCTGGTCTCAGTACTCCACAAAGCAGAATGGCTTCCTTTCTTTAGTCTTCCTTGTTTTGACCTCTGTGTTCTGTTTTTATAGACAGTGTTCCTCTGATTGGGGCAGTAAAGGCTTCTTACTGTACTTCTCTGCTACATTACATCATTTTTTATACACATACACAAATATATATATATATATATATATATATATATATATATATATATATATATATATATATATATATATATATATATATATATATAAAATCACTGCTGTCGGAAGAAAACCTCATATCTTTATTTTTGACATTTGTCCGTTTTTTACATAATTTGTAAATGCCTGTTGCCCTTTACATTGTGTGTAAATTTCATGATGAATGGATCAAAAGAAACGACCCAAAATAACTTGGAAAAATGTCTGGTTCCATTGACTTACATTTAAAAGTAGAGTGTTTTTTCCTTCTCCTGTAAAGTTACCACTTTGGAGATACGAGGTTTTTTTTTCCAACAACAGCGATGTGTGTGTGTGTGTGTGTGTGTGTGTGTGTGTGTGTGTGTGTGTGTGTGTGTGTGTATATATAGTGTAAAGCTGAGGAGGGAAGCTGTTGTGGAGTACTGAGACGATGCCTGTGCATTTGAGTGATGCATGTTGTCAGATTTTCTGTGGAGCACCTCCTCAGGCCTGGGACCTGCAGTCTGTCATTAAAACACATTGGTACGAATATCTGGGGGGATAAGCTTTCTTAGGACTCGCAGGACTTTTTGCACATCTCAGTAGCCCATAATTTATTTCATTCTTAGCTTATCGAAGTGTTCTTTGTTTTTTGGTATTGTTTCTTGAACAAGCTGTTTCTCAAAGATTTCAGTTTGTCATTTGGGACTCTTTACATTGTTTTTGTATTTTTTTTGGAAAATCAGTTTTTATTCCTGTGATACTGGACTGAATATACTGTTGGAAAGAATTGTCTCAGACTAAATCGTTTTTTAAAAGAAATTACCTTTAAAAAAAGCAAAACATGTGAGATTGAAGATGCTTGTATATCCAGTGTATATTTGACCTGTCCCAGTATGTCTTTAGCATGGTGAAGCCTGTACAGTGTAAATATGAGTACATATGAATATCTTCAGCCTGTACATATTTTTTTTCCTTAAATTTTAGGGAGCTTCAATAAATTTTGAATTTGTCAGACGCTGTTCAGTTCCTTCAGTCATTACATGGGAATGGAGAGATCGTCCTAATGGAAGTTGTTTAAAAGCAGGACCATCTATGTAGATTACATCCATGGTGCAAGTCTTCTACTTACATTAAAGGACCAGTTAATTAAATCAAGATGTCATAAAAAAATTGAAAAAAAATTTTTGTCAGTGACTAAGATTAATATATTCACAAGTTCATGACAAAAAAAAATGTTTTAGCCTGAGAGTCCATGCTGTTCTCCATTGTTAGATAGTGGAAATACCAAATTTAGAGGACTGGACGTGTCACTACATATCATAGACCATAATAATATCCACAGAACTTTTATTATGCAATGTCTAATAACTACATTCAGCATAGGAAGTGCCACAGAACCTGTTCTGATTGGCGCCAGCGGGTTCAGTCAGAGAACTTGTAGAGAGGAGAATTCTCGCTCTGCAATGTCGAGGCTTTTATTGTCATTCCATCTATGTACAAGTACACAGTGGAGCGAAATTACATTCCTCCAGGAACAACACGGTGAAACAAGGAACAACAAGTACAAAGTACAAAAATACAAAAGTACAAAGTGCGAACGTGCAGACAGTGTGCAAACAAGGATTAAGCTAGAAAACAATACAATAAATACAATAAATTAAACAGACATTAGACACAGTTAACAGACCAGACAGTGTAGCACCGACACAGCACAGATTTCTGGACATGAGGTAGTGGAATAAGGTGCAGACATTTTTAACGTGATGTGATCTGTAAGTTATGTCAGATAACATACCTATACATAGCAGTTACAGAGGTAGTAAAACAATTACAAGTACTGAGGTAGTAAAACAGTTACTGGGGTAGTAAAAACAGTGTAAACACAGCATTGGCAGCAATGTTCCAGATAGATAGTGCACGTAGGGCATCAAAAGAGGTGTGTATGAGTGGGGGGGGGCGCATTTCACACCAAACCACATTTTGTTTACATCTAAACCATTAAATGATTAAGTAATTTTGCAAAATTGGTGGAGTTCCCCTTTAAAGCGATGTAACTGGTATAGCTATATATTGGATGAAGATCCAGCAGTGCCCCCTTTTTTCCTCAATTAAATGAGCTCTGTTCTAAATGGCTGCCCTGTGTTGTGCTTTATTCAGCATAAATAGGCGGAGCTAAACTGCTGGAGGCTGAACAGGCAGGTATACATAAATGGGTTGTTTTCTGTGACGTCACAAAAACAGTGATTGTACTGTTTTTCCATAATTCTACATTTTGAACTTCAGCAGTGTTTAAATACTACATGTACTTTAACATTTCATTACTGGTTGATAAGCTTTAACTAGTTGTAATCATTTAACAATATTTAATATTTTTCCTCCTTTCCATTAGCTTATTTGTCTTACCCACCACAAAACAAACAAAAAAAAATAAATAAATATATATATATATATATATATATATATATACACACACACACACACAGTTAGTTCCAGCCACGCAAGCTGATTGGTTGAGAAGCGTTCTAACTGTGCTGTTATTTCACTGTAACATCACAGGTTTTTCACAAACACTGTATCACTCCGCTGAGACACTGTTGCTAAGCAACGACTTTGACAGCTGTAGGAGACGCTCGAGCCATTTGAACGTTTTTACTTCTTACTTTGCCACAAACAGAAAACGGACACTTTTAAGATCACATTTGACCGACAGCCGATTTGGTCAGACTCTGAAGATGAGACGACACTAAATTCCCAAACTGTCGTCACCACTGAGCAGCTTTTCAGTCGGCAGCTGTGACAGAAGAACAGCTAAACAACCTGGAATCAGCCAGAAATGAACCCAACACCATTCGCCAAACTAAATGGGCGGTAAAATGCTTTACAGACTGGCTGGAACAAAACAACATTAATACTGATCTGGCAAAACTGAGCTAAACTTGATATTGTGGCAGTTTTATGACTCAGTCTGATTTTGTCAGACTCTGAAGATCAGACTACATGTTTGGCGAATGGTATTGGGTTCATTTCTGGCTGATTCCAGGTTGTTTAGGTTCTTCTGTCACAGCTGCCGACTGAAAAGCTGCTCAGTGGTGATGACAGTTTGGGAATTTAGTGTAAGGAGCTGGAGAACGAACTGCCGACTGTGGGCGGAGCTCGTTACTCTGACGTAGAAACAAGCTGCTTGTTAAGGAACTATAATTTAGCGAAAGGAACTGCTAACATTAAAACATATTAAATGCCGCGTTCACGGCCCAGTTTATTAATTTCTTACTTTATTTATTTAACTGTTGTTATATATATATATATATGCGCTCACTGTATGTCCAGAAGTATCCACAGGAGTTAATGTGTGCACACACAGCTATAATCCACATAGAAAAGCACTGACCAATAGAATGGGACACTCTGGACCAGCTGCGCATGAGCCTAAGGTCACCATGCCCAATGCCAAGCGTGGGCTAGAGGGGTATAAAGCCCCCCCTCCCCAGTATTGAGCTGTGTAGCAGTGGAACTGTGTTCTCTGGAGTGATAGAGCTCCATCCAATTCCTTTGGGATCCAGAACTGATCATCCAACATCAGTACCTGACTTCACTAATGCTATTGTGGCTGAACGCAATCAAATCCTCACAGCAATGTTCCAAAATCTAGTTTGGAGGTTATTATTGCAGCAAAGGGGGACGAACTCTCTATAAACACCCTTCATTTCAGGGGAAACGCTGGATCAGCAGGTGTCTATAAACTTTGACATATAGTTCACATACACAATGCATCACATACAGTCTGTCCTGAGGTTTGAAGTGACTGACTCACTCACACAGCATGGCTTTGACTGAACTAGCAGGCGACTGGACGGAATGGCTGGTTTCGTTGGGTCGCTGTGGTGTGAGCTGGTTGTGCTGGAATGTTTTGTGTTGGGTTTTTGTGTAAGTGCCATTTGCCCTTCAGGTCCCGCTGACCTTAGCATTCACTGGTACTCGAATGGGCGGAGACTGGACACTGTTAACGAGTACAGACACACCTTTAGCCATGATGCTGTGCTGGTGAGCAGCTGGGTGGGGGAGGAGCCTCTGAGCAAAGACGCCCACTACCAGTGCATCGCTGTGTCCAAATCAGGGAACGACACGTCAAAGATTGACCTTCGACTCAGCAGCAGAGGTAATGGATCCAGTCTGGTTTTGGGGAGACTCGTCTTCTGTGTT